CACACTTTCTTGGCTTTTGCCAGAAATATTCACATACCCAGACCAAGGTCAAGGGTTAGGCACAAAAGTTAAACTATGTTTAAGAACTTCCTGACGATGTTTGCTATACCTAGGAGAACTGCTTTTTGCCCTTCTTCCAACAGTTTCAAATTTTCGACAGAGCGAATGGTATCGTCTGGGATGAGGCCATTGCTGGAAATTACAATTGGATGTACCTGTACTTGATTCAGTTTGCAAAGTTGCCAAAGCTCTAGGCACAAATCTTGATATTTTCTAATCTTTTCAGAAACAGTCTTTACGATATTATCATCGGTTGGGACCGCTATATCAATGACATACCCACTTTGTTTCTTCCGATCAATTAATACAATGTCCAGTTTGTTATTTACTACCGTGTGGTCTGTAATTATAGATCGATCCCAATATATTATTCTATTTTCTTTTGACAGCACCGGTTTGGGCTCATATCGATAATAAGGAACCTCATTTTTTGTCATGTTATTTAATGAGGCCAGGAATTGGTGAACAATTTTAGCCAGGTTATTGTGTCTCATCAGATATTCTTTACCTGCCAACGCTTGACATCCCGACGAAATATGTTGGATTGACTCTATTACATTTTTACCTAGACGACATCGGTCACTTACAATTTCTCCACATATATATTTTTTGTAAGCATTGGTGGATATTACCTTTCATTATTATTATTTTTATTTTTTTATTTTACACATTACATGGTTGTTTGTAACAGTTGGGGACATGCCATTCCCAACAATACTGCCATTTGCATTTTTTCCATTCTCACAAATGGCAAGTCCAGCTCACACAAAGAAGATTGAGATTCTTCTGGTATTAACCCATTGCATGAAATTACTAACTGTAAAATCCAGCTTTCCTTGAAATCATACAGTTGTTTTAATTCTTTCACCACTTCTACATATTTTCTTTTTTTTTTCCGCCACTACCTTGTGCAGATTATCATCTAAAGGAACTCCAATTTCTATAATAGACGCTATTTTCTTTTCTTTATCGATTATTAGAATGTCAGGCCTATTGTTTGGGACAGTGTGATTTGTAAGTAAAGGCTGATCCCAGAATAGTTTGGCATTACGCTTGGAGATAATTGATTCAGGATGATATTTGTAATACTGACAATAGTTATCCCTCAGTTCCAGCTTCTGAGCCATGGCTTGATGTACTACTTTAGCTGCATTGTTATGCCTCAGTAAATATTCTTTACCCGCCATTAATGTGCATCCAGAAGTTATATGTTGAATCGACTCCACTGATTTTTTGCATAGGCACCATAAGTCATTTATATTTTCTCCATAAATATGCTTTCTATACACCCTTGTGGCTATTACCTACTCTTGGATAGCCAGCAGGAATCCTTCGACTTCTTGAAAAATATTGCCGCTTTTAAGCCATGTTAACGATGTCTGAGTGTCTATTCCTATTCCTATCAGTGAATGATAAAATCGGCCATGGAGTGGTTTGACTTTCCATTTTTCTATTAATGTATAATCGCCTGCATCAATAGAATAGGCCGTAGCATTTAGTAGATTTAGAGCTGTGTAATTTGCATTTAGTGATGCAATAGTTGAGAAGATGCTAGAGGCATGACGTCTGATGTAAACCCTAAGGTTATTTTCTTCTTTCTGGCGTAGCTTCAAGAGGCTGATGAGACCAAGCTCTCCCTTCTTCCTAGGAAGATATAATCTCGCCACTGATGATTTTTAATGTCTTTTCCTTGATAGCACCATTTGTACCCTAAGAAAGAGATCTAGCCTTTCTAAATCAGTTTTAGTCCATTTTAGTACTCCAAATGAGTAAGCTAAAGCTGGTACTGCCCAAACATTTAATGCTCTGATTAAATTCCTTCCATTTAAATGGGATTTAAGTACTAATTTGATTCTTTTCTCAAATTTGTCCTCAAAGGATTTCTTGGAATTGCTCTTAAATTTCAGAAGTTGATGCATTCCTAGGTATTTGTAAGAATCAGGTTCTCTCATTAATCTCTGATTAATCACATCTTCTGTAAGATCTATATCATTCCCTTCAACAATCCTACCTCGTTTTACGTAGATTACTGCACATTTATCTATCCCCAGATCCATTCCTATGTCAGTGCTGAACATCTCTACCATTTTACCATAGAACGAACGGGAGAGCTTCGTTTCAGAATCGAGGTGGTATCCCTTACTTGTATCATCCAGTAGTTTACTGAGGGGATTGAGTGCCAAAGAGGACTAAGGGAGTCACCTTGAAAAATATTCCTTTTTATTGGTATATATTCATTGGTACTTAATCCATTCCAATTTGGTGTGCAGAGTGATACCTTCCAAATTTGCATTATACGTTTCAACAAATCTATTATTGTCTGGTCCACTTTATAGATCTTTAGAACTTCCAAAAGCCAATCATTTGGAACTGAATTGAATACTATACGATAATCAAACCAAGATAAAGCAACATTGCGAGATATTTTTGAAACTTGAGCTGCAATAAACAAATCTATCAACAGAAGTTCTTTGCATCTTCTTGAACCTGGTTTATTACCTAGCTGTTCAACTGACAGGATGGCATTTTCTTGAATGTAGTCAGTCAACTTGTTTCTGATGACAGCCGTTAATAGCTTGTACACACCATTTAAACACTTTATAGCTCTCAAATCCTGGGGCTCCAATTTTTCCTTATTTGTTTTTCTTATTAAATAAGTCATGCCTGTGCAGAAATTTGCAGGAAGGTCTACCTTTTTAGATATTAATTTTGGATACCATGAAGCCAGATGACTGTGAATACTGCTGAAATACTTCAGCCAGTAATTTTGTATTTTGTCTGACTCAGAAGCTTTCCAGTTTTTCATTTGCTTAAGTGACTTTGCTACATCTTCCACAGTAATACTGGTTGTTTCCATAGGTTGGAGGTTTGATTGACTACAGCAAATATTTTCCAACCAATGTGCATCGCTATTATAACATTTTTTCCTTTCCAATATTCTGATATTTCTAAAAGATCTGGGTAGACATCGTTTATAGCATTCTCTTTAGGTTTTATAATCTTATAAAAGCATTTTTCTCTAGTACCAAATATATGATTTTGTCTTCTTCTATTTTGAGCTTCAGTATACCTCCTGATCCTGTTAGTGTACACTGCTAACTTTTATTAAAGGGTTTCCATATAAACACTAGAGTTTTGTTTTACATATTGCTTGCTACACCTCCAATGTTGAGGACTATAATTTCATCAATTTTCTTCTGTATGAAAATAGTTAGTGATGATTCCAATTTTACAGCATAGACCCTCAATCTTTTTCTTGATTCTCGTTTTCCAGGGAGGATCTTCTCATTTATTAACTTTATCACAATTCTCCTTTTCTTTTATTAATCCAAGCTCCATTGTGACTGTTCGAGCTCCAACGTATACCCACTGGCATATCTCTTCTAAAGTTATACCATCTGATATATGCTCAGCAACTATTTCATTGATTGCTCTGACAGTGATTAACGTTCTTTTTGAGTATGGTACCTTAGGTATTGTGGGTCTGCTATTTAAGGGTATTCCATCATAAAGCATATGCTCCTTTAACATTTTGCTATGTAATTCTTTGCTGGATTTTAGAGAATTTCATTGCCTTTAATTGTAATTGCTTTGTGGAGTTTCTTGATTGTTCGTAAAAGTCGTGTCAAACTGCCTATTCACAGAAGCCGGTTCTATATTTTCCACTTGTTCTATTTCTCTTTGCGAATTGTGGTTCAGTATATTGCCTACTTCAGTTTTAATTCCCATAATTTCTGACTCTGATAAAAATTTGCTCTCCAATATTTGCTTTACCTGGTCAGCAAGTCTTGGGATGATACTGCTATTTGTGGGTATTGTTCATTCCAGTAATGTTTGATTCTACTGGAGTATCCAGTTTTTTGTTTTTCTAAGATTGTAGCTAATAAGTAAGCTCGGATTGCGGCAATTGAGTTTATTGAGAATCCTTTGACAGTAGGTCTTACGGGAACATACGACACCGAGGCACCGCTCGCACTACCTGCAGATGTCGAAGGCTGAATATCCAATCCCTCCGAAGCAGCCCTCACTTCGGATTCGTCCAAGGCTATTTGTCTCCTAGTTCGCACCATTTTGATGGGAAGATGCATTTTATACCTGCTGCCAGGTCATCCTGGGGGAAGTAGCCCTAGGGTGTGTACTGTATGTGTCCTTAGTGTTAGTGTAAATGATTTAGTGGAGTGTTGTGTGTGTATTTATAGATGATGTACTGTACTCAGGGAACCGGGGGATCGAATAACCCCAGCAACTGCACCTATCAGTTGCCCCTTGCGGGTTTATTATTATTATTAAGGCCAATGATAAATATGTGGTTCTGTTGTGCAAATTAATTACTCATAGAAAATTTTATACCATTGGTTTATTGGAATTTAGAAAACCTAAGAGTTCGCATTTTATTTTATTTTTTTATTTTTTTTAGCTACCTGATAGCTAGTGATAATTTGGCTAGACTGCGAACTAATTGATCCTATTAGTATTAAAAGGTTCGCAAAGGCATCTGGCCTGTTTTAATTGCCACAAATATTCAGTTTTTCTTTTCAACTCCGACATGATCAACTTTGTAATTTTTTAAAAATGTTATATATGCTATATATACTTTTTTAAAAATGTTATATGGAATATGAGAAGGGTGCCAATGCAATGCAAGTTGCTGTCTAAGCTGAGCTCCGCTAAATAATCGGTTGCCGACCCCCTCTTGCTACGTTCAGCTTAGCTCAACTCAGCTCAGCTGCGTTTTCGGTTTCTTGTCAGCCTTAAAGTAAATTAATTCAACATTGTCTTATGTGTTAATTGATCATCTCTTTTTAAAATTTTGAAAAGTTTGATTGAAAAAAAGTTGATTGGTCTTTAATATTGAAAATTCACATTAAATATATTATTTGATGCTTATTTTATTTTAAATTTATTAAAAATTAAGCTATTACATTTTTTTTTTCTTACAGCAGTCATGTAATGTAGATAATGCTGCGTGGTTAAAATCAAAGTATCCTATGGGTCTAAGTGGACATTCAGCATTTCTGCAAAAGAAACTGGCTAAGGGGGTAAGGATTTTTATTATAATTTTCTTAAAATTATGGTTAGTTACTTATTTATACTTACATTATTGTTGATTTTTTGTTTAAGGTAATTTCATCTAATTTTTTTTCTATGTATAACTGATTTCTGGCTTGTTTAATAAATAATTAGATTTTCTTGATTTCTACTTATCATTTTATTAGTTTATGAAGCACCAGGAGATGAAGGTATTTCAATAAAGATGGAGAGGAAATATGACGGATTGATAAAACCATGTAAGGAATTTAAAAGAGGTGACATGGTTAATTAAGAATTTGTAAAAGTTTTGTTGAGGATGCATGATGATCAGGCAATCATGGTATTGATGAAGTATACCATAAAACATAAAATAGGCAAACACACAAATGCTAGGTATAGTCTGTGGGCCAGACACCCCTACCATGGATTAATGTAAACTACTGACATTAAGGTAAACTACTATTTTGTCGGTGACACTTGTTATGAAAAAAACGTGATGAGCACTCGGTCAATATCAAATTCAACCCTATTTTAATAAAAAGCATCCTCAACAAAATTATAGTGAACTCTTTTATCAATTAAATCTAAAAAGTTATACAAATTTATATGAAATCTGAAATCCGACAGTATTTTCAAAAATGAGCCTCCGTTAACATTATAGTGAACTCTTATACCGATTAAGTCCAAAAAAGTACAACAACGTGATGCGCAATTGCACAATCTGAAATTCGACAGTATTTTCATAAAAAGAGTCCCCGGCAACATAATAATAGACCCTAAGTGTAATAATATATCAAATAAATCCGAAAAGTTACAAATATAAATGAATAAACAAATATAAATATCAAAGAATTTGCATTGGCTCCTTGGTCGTATTAGATTGATTTAAAGAAAGATTCATCTCAGACATGTGGGTCATCATCAGGAGGTGTTTCGAGTGCTGAAGGTATTCAAGTACTCTTACCTACAAGTACTACAGTCGACTAACTTCTTTCAATAGATTCTTTCCATTCTTCGGGCAATTTCTTATTCTCCCAGATCTTTTTAACCAACAAATGTATTTTAGAAACTGCAGTTCCCTTGCATGCGTTAATTAGTTCACTAAAAATATTATCGGTTCCCGCTGCTTTATAAGATTTTAATTTTCTGATAGTTACTTCAACTTCCTCTTTACTTGGTTCTTCTATTAATGGTTCAGCACTCTGGTACTGAAAAGGACACAGATCATTATTTTCTGTATTTAAAATATTGTCAAAGTGGTTCTTAAACTTATTTAGTATCTCTACGGATTGGTCAGAATAGAATAGAAAATAACTTTATTCTGGGACAAAGTCCCTTTAGAATAACAAAATAGAACATAATTAAAATACTACATCTGGCCAAAATAAACAATAATAAAAAAAGAGAAAGTAAAGAAAATATTAGTTAAACAAGTTATATACAAAAAAAAAATCTATATAGCATTTCCAAGTCAATTTCAACCTTTTCCAAGTCAAATTCAACCTTTTCCAAATCAAATTAAACTTTTTCCAAGTCAAATTCAACCTTTTCCATTTCAAATTAAACCTTTTCCATTTCAAATTCAACCTTTTTTTATTTATTTAATTATCTTTAATTTTTCGATGTGTGGGTCTGTTATCGTATGAGTAGTTTTTGAAAATAACCTCCTTTTTAAGATTACGTGACTGAGTTTCGAATTATTTAAGTTTTTTTGAATTATTCGATATAAGGGTGTATTTTTATGTTTCCCGATCAGTAAATTTTGAAAATGACATCCATTTTATGTTTACGCCACTGTGTTTTGATTTATTTAAGTTTTTAGAATTTATCCAATATAAAGGTCTACTTTTATGTTTCTGGAGCCGTAGATTTTGAAAACGACCTCCATTTTAAGATTAGGCCACCGCGTTTCGACTTATTTGAGTTTTTCGGATATTTTTCATATGAGGGTGTATTTTTATGTTTCCGGAGCTGTAGATTTTGAAAATGACCTCCATTTTAAGATTAGGCCACCGCGTTTCGACTTATTGAGTTTTTCGGATATTTTTCATATGAGGGTGTATTTTTATGTTTCCGGAGCTGTAGATTTTGAAAATGACCTCCATTTTAAGATTACGCCACTGCGTTTTGACTTATTTAAGTTTTTCGAATTTATCCAATATTAAGGTCTACTTTTATGTTTCTTGAGCCGTAGATTTTGAAAATAACCTCCATTTCATGATTACGCCATTGCATTTTGACTTATTTAAGTTTTTCGAATTTATCCAATTTAAAGGTCTACTTTTATGTTTTCGGAACCGTAGATTCTGAAAATGACCTCTATTTTATGATTACGCCACTGCGTTTCAACTTATTTAAGTTTTTAGAATTTAACAAGTATAAAGGTCTAATTTTATGTTTCTGGAGCAGTAGATTTCCCCATTTTGTAAATGACCCAATTTCAAGTTTATGCCACTGTGTTTTGGATTATAAAAGTTTTTTTTTTTTACTTTTTCGGTATAAGGATCTACTTATATGTTATCCGAGACGTATTGAAATTTTTCTAATCTTTAATATTTAAATTTATCTAATATTTAAGCTCCATTTTATGATTAAGCCGCTGCATCTCGAATAATTAGGCTTCATTTTGGATTTTTTCAATACAAAGTTTCATCAATATGTTTTCGAGTATGAATAAATAAATAAATATTATGAAGCTAAAGTTAAATTAACCACAGAATACAAACTAAAAAGCCGAAAAGCAGCTGGTAATAAATTTAACCTTCCGTATTCAGATTTTTCAGCTAATTGTTCGAAATCTTATAATTTTGTGACAGGAGACCACAACATTAAAAAAGATAACTAAAATTAAATTAAAAATGAGACAATACATATTTTATTTATTTTGATTAGATATTTTTATTTATTTATTGAAAAATAAATTAATCCTTCGTATTTTGTTTTTTATTCGAAGGAAAAATAAAAAACACTTAAAAAAACCGAAACACAGTGGCCTAATCTTAAAATGTAAGTCGTTTTAAAAACTAAGGCTCCGGCATCATAAAAGTAGACCTTTAAATTGGATAAATTCGAAAAACTTGAATAAGCCGAAACGCAGTGGCGTAATCTTAAAATGGAGGTCATTTTCAAAATCTACGACTCCGGAAACATAAGAATACACTCTTTTATGATAAAAATTCGAAACACTTAAAGAAATCGAAATGCGGTGGCCTAATCTTAAAATGGAGGTCGTTTTCAAAATCTACGGCTCCGGAAACATAAGAATACATCCTCATATGAAAAAAATCCGAAACACTCAAAGAAATCGAAACGCGGTGGCCTAATCTTAAAATGGAGGTCGTTTTCAAAATCTACGGCTCCGGAAACATAAGAATACACTCTCATATGAAAAAAATCCGAAAAACTCAAATAAGTCGAAACGCGGTGGCCTAATCTTAAAATGGAGGTCGTTTTCAAAATCTACGGCTCCAGAAACATAAAAGTAGACCTTTATATTGGATAAATTCTAAAAACTTAAATAAGTCAAAACACAGTGGCATAAACGTAAAATGGATGTCATTTTCAAAATTTACTGATCGGGAATCATAAAAATACACCCTTATATCGAATAATTCAAAAAAACTTAAATGATTCGAAACGCAGTCACTTAATCTTAAAATGGGGGTTATTTTCAAAACTAGGTACAGGACAAAGTTGGGCATTTACTCGAGTAAATGTCGAGCAGTGACGTCACGAGTGATCACTCTTGGAAGCTGAGCCATGAGTAATTTTGAAAATTACTCGTGAAATATTTTTCCTTCATGAGTAAATCACTCGTGAAAAATGTTATCTCCATGAGTAAATTACTCATGAAAAATTTTAACGCCATGAGTAATTTTGAAAAAAAAAATGTTTTTATTTTATTTAACCTAATTTTTTTTTCACCTTTCCGATTTATTCAATATCGGGGTCGACATATATGTTTTGGGGGACGCTTTCTATGGAAATGTTATCCAATTTGAGATTGGGCCCCCCGGGCCTCGACTTTTTTTAACTTTTGGGATTAAATCGATATCAGGGTCGACTTATAGGTTTCGGGGGGCGCTTTTTATGAAAATGATATCCAATTTGAGATTGGGACCCCCCGCCCCGTTTTTTTTTAACTTTTGGGATTAAATCGATATCAGGGTCGACTTATAGGTTTTGGGGGGCGCTTTTTATGAAAATGATATCCAATTTGAGATTGGACCCCCCCCGCCCCGTTTTTTTTTAACTTTTGGGATTAAATCGATATCAGGGTCGACTTATAGGTTTTGGGGGGCGCTTTTTATGAAAATGATATCCAATTTGAGATTGGACCCCCCCGCCCCCGTTTTTTTTTAACTTTTGGGATTAAATCGATATCAGGGTCGACTTATAGGTTTTGGGGGGCGCTTTTTATGAAAATGATATCCAATTTGAGATTGGACCCCCCCCGCCTCCCGTTTTTTTTTAACTTTTGGGATTAAATCGATATCAGGGTCGACTTATAGGTTTTGGGGGCGCTTTTTATGAAAATGATATCCAATTTGAGATTGGGTCCCCCGGGCCTTTACTTTTTTTAACTTTTGGGATTAAATCGATATCAGGGTCGACTTATAGGTTTCGGGGGGCGCTTTTTATGAAAATGATATCCAATTTGAGATTGGACCCCCCGCCCCCGTTTTTTTTTAACTTTTGGGATTAAATCGATATCAGGGTCGACTTATAGGTTTTGGGGGGCGCTTTTTATGAAAATGATATCCAATTTGAGATTGGGCCCCCCGGGCCTCGACTATTTTTAACTTTTGGGATTAAATCGATATCAGGGTCGAATCTTATGTTTTGGGGGGCGCTTTATATGAAAATGATATCCAATTTGAGATTGGGCCCCCCGTCCGCGTTTTTTTTTAACTTTTGGGATTAAATCGATTTCACGGTGGACTCTTATATTTTAAGGGGCTCTTTTTATGAAAATGACATCCGATTTAAGATTGGGCCCCCGGGCCTT